CCGGATCGGTCCATAGGTTGTCTTAGCTCACATATAAGGTATACTTCTGAAAACCACTTAATACCACTTAATTCGTAATTAAATGATTACATCCGGATAAAATTCAAAATGAGTATGTTCTGTGTACAGATAAATTATTATATTAAAATGTTATCAAACTGGCCAATTAATATACATTTTTCTCGACCTAATTAAAATTAATTTGACATATGCCTAAATGTTAGTACCTACTCTCAATAAGGAAACAAAAATTTTGCCAAGTTATCTAAAAATTATATATTTAAATGGGTTTCAATAAAAAGTAGCTTGCTGGTGGAGGGTATTTAAGATTCGGCATAGCCAAATATAGCACTCTAACTTGTTTTTTAATAATTTAAACTACACAAATAAAATTTTTAAAAAATTCTTATTAAAAATGTTTACTTATCTTATCAGTAATGGGGAACTCCCATTTCTTAGAAAGAGAAATTCTTGTTTTTTTATATATATAAAAACAACTATACATCTAAATAAACAGATTTTCGTTAAATTGACATTAATTAATGATTCACCTTAATAAAATTATGATAGACCATAAAGATAAAAATCGTCCAAAAAATGGACAAATTGTTCATGTGGATTACAATGTTGACTGTACAAAATTTGAGGATTCTGGCTCTAATAGTTTTCCAGTTATAGGAATTTTTGTATTTAATTCATATGGGAGGTGCCACGCCCTCTATTGCTACTCCCTTAGTTTATTATATTATAAATTTTTATACCAACCATGAAAAAGATGGGTGCTATATTGATTTTGCCATTCTGTTTGTAACACATCGAAATATTGGTCATAGACCCACAAAAGTATATATATTCCGGATTCTTATTAAATTCTAAGACGATCTAGCCACGTCTGTCCGTCCGTCCGCCTGTCTGTCTGTTGAAAGCACGGTAGAGGTCGAATAGAAAGGGTATAGGAATGAAGTGTTCACAAATATTACCTGTAAGCTTTGTTTGGTATTGAAAATAGGCAATATTGTCCATGTTTTCGGATAGTCCCCATACAAGTGGACCCTCTAGCTTTAACTTACATTACTGTTTTAAAAATACGAGAATAGCGATGAAATTCGACATAAATAAGTTTCATATAAGCCCATAATTAACCCTACCCCCTTATAAGGTCCCCTTCAGAAAATCACTTTAACGCTCATTACTGGCTAAAAAATGCGAGTATAGCACTGAAATTTTACAAAAAAAGTTTCTTACGAGCCAACATCTTTCTACAGACTTTTATGAGAATCGTCCCATAATTAACACTACCCCCTTATAAGGTCCCCATCAGAAAATAAATTTAACGCTCATTACTGGCTAAAAAATGCGAGTATAGCACTGAAATTTTACAAAAAAAGTTTCTTACGAGCCGACATCTTTCTACAGACTTTTATGAGAATCGTCCCATAATTGACACTACCCCCCTTATAAGGTCCCCATCAGAAAATAAATTTAACGCTCATTACTGGGTAAAAAATACGAGAATAGCGATGAAATTCGACATAAATAAGTTTCATATAAGTCCATAATTAACCCTACCCCCCTTATAAGGTCCCCTTCAGAAAATCACTTTAACGCTCATTACTGGCTAAAAAATGCGAGTATAGCACTGAAATTTTACAAAAAAAGTTTCTTACGAGCCAACATCTTTCTACAGACTTTTATGAGAATCGTCGCATAATTGACCCTACCCCCCATATAAGGCCCCTTCTGAAAATAAATTTAACGCTCATTATTGGCTTAAAAATACGCGTATAGATATGAAATTTGACACAAATAAGTATCTTTGCGAGCCAAAATCTCTTTACCAAATTTTATGTGCATTGATTCTAAATTGACTCTAAGCCCCATATAAAAATGACTTAAAAATGCGAGTACTGTGGTGAAATTCTACATTAACAAATTTTGTACAAACCTAAAACTCTCTATCAAATTTTTATGAGGATCAGTCCATAAATGACCCTATCCCCCATTACTCATATGCTCATTACTGGCATAAAAATACCAGTAGATCCATGAAATTCGACATAAAGAAGTTTTATGGGAACTGAAATCTTCCTACCGACTTTAATGAAGATGGATCGATAACTGATCCTACCCCCCATTTAAGCACCACTTCAGAAAACTAATTTAACTCTCATTAGTTACTTAAAAATACGACTTAGGCGATGAAATTCAAAATAAACAACTTCTTTACGAAACATACTTAATTTATGTACAAAAGTTTATGAAGATCGGTTTAATAAGGTCCACTTTAGAAATTACGGTTGTTTAATTAGGAAGTGGAAATTTTCAACTGAAGGATCGGTCAACTGAGGATCGGTCGATAACTGATCCAACCCCCCATTATCGGTTTCCTTCAGAAAATTGCTTTAAAAAAAAAATTGCTCATAACTAAATTAAAGATATGAGTACCACGGTGAAATTGTAAACAAATAATTATTATCTAAACCGAAGAGGATAGGTACATTATTGTCTCTACCCTCCATATAACCCCTTAAAAAAACAGTTTATGGTTATAAAAATTTGACAAAAAATTAATATTTTTAATTCGTAAGAGCACAGGGTATATCAATTGTGTCATTCCGTTTGTAACACAAAGTCAAAGACCAATAAAAGTATACATATATATCATGGGTTTTTATTAAATTCTGAGATGACCTAGCCATGTCCGTCCGTCTGTCACCTGAAAGCACGATAGAGTCCGAACTAGGGATGCCAAACGGGACTGGCTTTTACAAATCCCGGGATTCGGGATTTTGAAAATTGCAATCCCGGGATCCCGGGATATTTCGGGATCCCGGGATTTTTCGGGATCCCGGGATTTTTCGGGATTTCGGGATTTTACGGGATTTCGGGATTACATGAATTTATTTATTTTATATATGAAAATCTTTAAATCATCATATTTGTAAAGAAAATTGTTTAATTTTGTGGAAATTTAGCAGACAGAAGATATATTTAAATTAAAACAATCCAATTAATTCCAATTTTTAAATAAAAACTTTCAGAATTGCATAATTTCTGAAACTTTTTAAATACATACTTACTTCCTAAATAAATATCAAGTTCCGAAATTAGACATAAGCACTTTTTAAAACCTCATACTGTTCCATGTGAACTAATAATTATAACAGATACCAATTCAATTATCCGTACATCAATTTAGAACCTATTCTTTGAAAAATATTTGGAACTTTACACAAAATACATGTTAGTTTTGGAACATGTTATTATATTCGTAGTATTAATTTAAAATTTTATGTGCATTCAGAACAAGGTAATTTACCTTTACCGGTATCACTCAGATTTGTAGAAAGTTAGAAATGTAAAATCCTCTAGTATTGAAAAATAAAGTTTGTATTCGACTGTGCCGAAATTAAATACCCACCATCAAAATATTGTAATGTATTGATATTAATATCAGCATCAATGTGATTTTCAGAGGAGGTCCAATTAGGTTTTCTTGTGTCAATTTTGGTCCAAATTTGCATCACAAATGGAATGAGTCTTCTAACTCGTGTTTTTAGCTTACAGACACAGAATGTGTATACTTTTTGGGTCGGTCTACGACCAACATTTCGATGTGTTAACAAGTAAGAAGTTATAGTTGGGCGAAGCCTACCATATAATACCCTACACCAGTTATAAAATAAAATGTGATTTATTGTTCATAATAAAGCATCTAAGTTGAATTGTACCTTGCCTCAGATATACTTTAGCTATTTTTTGTTGAATAAAATTGTGTACATTTAAGTCATATTTCGAACGGGGCTTTGTATAGGAGCTAGGGTCAAATGAGGCCGTATCATCAAAAAATACATCAGGGTCATGAAGGCTAGTATAGAACTTGGCTTTGCAGCTTTTTGTCGAGATACGAGTATATTAAACATAATTATGAACTTAAAAGCCCTATTCGGCGGGTTCAGTTGTATGGGGGCTAGGTCAAGTATTGGACCGATGTTACCCATTTTCAATAGGATCCGTCTCTAGTACAATAGAAGATCATGCAAAATTTTATAGAATTATCTTCAAAATTGCTGTAGTTTGATTACAAGGTTTACACGGACGGACGGACAGACGGACGGACATAGCTTAATCGACTCAGAAAATGATTCTGAGCCGATTGGTATACTTTAAGGTGGGTATAGGACCAATATTATTGTGCATAACAAAAATCAGCACAAACCCAATATACCCTCCCCACTAAAGTGGTGTAGGGTATAAAAACGAAGTGAATAAATAAATTTATATGTGCTATGTGTATGGAATCATACCACTTTAAAAAATAAAAGGTTTAAATATGTATAAAATTAGCTCTGCGGAATTTAGTTTTGCATGAGTCGAAAATAAAATAAGATCGTAATTTTCAAGTTAATGAAAATTATGGCTCAAAAAAAGAAAATAAAAACAGTTTTTGAAACAAATCCCGGGATTTATTTTGAAAAATCCCGGGTTTCGGGATATTCTAATCCCGAAAGAATCCCGGGATTTATTTTCCAAATCCCGGGATTCGAGATTTGCCAATCCCGAAAAATCCCGGGATTTTCGGGATCGGGATTTCGGGATTGGCATCCCTAGTCCGAACGGAAAGAGTTAGAATTTGTTTGGTATTTAAAATATGCAATAACTATACACGTTTTCCATTCACCAAATTTTATGAGTATCTGTCAACATTTTCCCCCAGTCTGGATCAGAAAATTAGTTTTTTGTCAATAAATTTCTTAAAAATATCGGAGGAACTCTATTCTCTTAACTGGTCGGCCACAACCGACTATAATTTCTTACTTGTTTTCTATAAACAGCTCTTAGAACCATTTTTCTTGAAACAACGTTATTTGGATTATGCAAATCTTGTAGTAAATGAGCTAAATCAAGATAAAGGGATTTAGTTTCATCTTCTAAATGGTCTACTTTCTAATAATATCTCACATTAACACTTCCCAAAATAAAAAAACGATATATATATTAAAATTACTTTTATTGCAAAACACTAAGTATAATTTCACTTGTAAGTTAAATTCATTTAACTACATAATACTTAAAATAAAGTTTCGTCTTCTTTCATAGCTTCAAATAATTTTGTCTTAAATTCCGAAGACATATAGTGGATATTTGTTACTGCAGCAAAAGCATCATCATCGTTTCGTGTACAATAATTCATAGTAGTCGGTAAATTACTAATTACGCCCAAGAGCCTATATATAATTTCGTTGTCATCTGGATTCCGGTGTTCAACAAAAAATCCAGAACCACTATCACCACGACATACTGCAGCGCGTTCTTCATTGATAATACAAAATTTATCATCTGCTATGCGCAATTCAGGTGGACTTTTATCATAACATTCATGATAGGATAATGTTATCATCCGAATTCTTTCCAATTGAGTGTTTAGGCCAAAAGTGGTAATGAAACCTTTTTGATTAGAGATCATATATTTTGATGCGGTATTGAGACTTTCTATTGCCATGCAGACCGGTGCAATTGTTAGTACGTATCGAAGGGCACTTTTTAGTTTTAAAAAAGCTATATCGTCCCTTTCACCACCATCTCTACCTTTATAACTATAAGAAACAAATTTTATTAATTTAAATAAAAATTTATATCATAATAATTATGTATGTAACTTGTAAAAAGTTTGTCCGATTCTTATGAAATTTCACATACGTAAAGAGGAAGCGTTGACGAGTTTAGGTTTTGAGGACCTCATGGGCCTACCAGGGACGTAGTCAGAGGTCCGCAAAGTAGGACACATAGGGTATGTAAAATGTTGTAAGGATATCATTATTTGGTAATGAGTAATATACGTTTATGTTATTTTTAGAAGGGGACCTTGTATGGGAGCCACGGCCAATTATGAACCGATCGAGGCAGACTAAATGGGTCAAATGAGGTCCGATCATTGATTATACTAATTTCCGGCAGAATCATTTATAACCGATCATTATAACACCTAGCGCCTATGTCCTATATATGGCCTGGGACCGAATGGGTCTTGGAATAATCAATACTGCATGATATCATATGATCTGCCCTGGGCCATTTCTTACTTCTTTAATGTTTTATATTGTTTGAAAACAATCCGTTGCCAATATCACGAAACCGAAAATTTTTCCTATATATTTAAGTTATAGTCGAGTACTTTCCAAATTGTAGAAGTTATTATACAGTTAAACATACTCTGATGGTATGTGTATTTCTTCCACCTGTACTATCTGCGAGTAGCTACTCTGCTCCGCTGTAAAATTGCTCGTAGTTCTGCCAGCAATAATTTGATATTCCGTATAATTTCTCAATGTTAAAGTCGACACATCCCAAAAGCAATGTGCGGCTGAAAGAAAGTTAATATAAGCATAGGTATACCTTTAGTGATCAATTTAATAAACCTGTTATGATAATACGAGGCGAAACAATAGATCCACTACAAATGAAGTTGTATTTAATATTATTATGTTCATGTATAGACACATGCCAGGGTGCTGAGCTAGATTTTATGCGAATGACACGCGTAGACAAGGGGAAAATAATAGAAGATACTCTGCCGCAACTGTGAACGCAAGGATGGGGAGGTTCATCGTAACTGCCATCTGATAAACATTGTATTAACTGTGGAACTTTCGGTTTACGAGTGTAACCAAAGTTACAATTAAGTTGAATTTCAGTACCAGGAGGAATTTTTTTAGGACACTCCCCTAAACGTGTTCTATAGTTACAAACAGCATGTATAGAAAGTCCGCTTAAGAGTGTACCATCACAGTAGGCTAAATAGAATGGGGAACTGTGTTAGAAAACAAATTATCAATATCTAAAGAAAGACTTACCCTCACAGGAAGGAAAATCAAAATCCCATTTACCATTCTGGCACAAAAGACTGGTTTGACCTTTTAGCGTATATTTGTTCTGGCATTCGATATGTATGACTTCAAAATCATCCACAAAGGATCCTATTGGAATAGTTTCATTTAGAGGATGTAGTTTAAATATCAAATCCTGCAGTTCTGTTATATTTGGTATAATGCATTGAGCGGATGTTGGTAAGGCTATGGGTGCTGGCTTTGGTTTTGGAGTCGGTGTTACAGCAGTTTCATTATTGATCTTTCGTGGTGTAGTACACAACTGCCAGGCCTCGTCTGAACCATCAGCACATTCTTTTATACCATTACATTTAGAATTACGGCTAATACATGCACCATAACCACATGTAAAACCAACACAATGAAAATTTATACATAACTCCAGGGATTCATCGGAACCATCTTTGCAGTCTACACGACCATTACAAAGATCAATTGAATTTATGCATTCTTTAGAATTCACACATTGTATTTCAGTAGCAAAACTATAAATGTTTAAGATAAATGTATACACATATTAGTTATAATTCTCCCACTTACCAGACACCTTGAAAATCTGAATCATCTTTTTGAATACATATCAATTCATCCGAGTTGTCAGCACAATCTTGCACACCATTGCATTTAGCCTTGCCGTCTATGCAAGCTCCGTATGTACAACGAAAAGTAGAATTCTGACAGATATCATGAAACTGTATACAATTCTCTGCAATTTCATCCGATCGATCACTACAATCCACTTTACCGTCACACAATTTATTATCGGATATACACTGGCCATTGTCACATGACCAGTCACTGCTGTTACATTGGGAATGGGCTAATGTAAATATACAAAATGTTACTTAAAATATCGGAAAACCTACATATATATATATCCTAACTAATTATATGATATTGATTGTTGTTAATTGAAATTAAGATCATACAAGTTTTAATGATCATCTTTTTTTCTCTTACCACAATTGAATTTCACAAAAGATAATGAAATTAAAAAAATTATTTGTATTTTGAAATTATTGAACATTTTTAAAAATGATTTATATTTATTTCAATTTATATACACTTGACCCAAACAATGAAATAAAATGTATATGTTGGACTTATAAGCAACTTTTAAAAACTGATTACTTTTCAATTAAAAGCTGTTATTTTAATATATTGAGAACTTTTTGATTACAGAGGTATTGATTTTTGCTCAATTGATTATTTTAAATTTGAACTGTTATCATATGAAATCATTTGTATTAGTAAAACATTTAAATATTAATCTCAATCTTAATACAAGTCGGTTCAAGTCCCATTAGCTCTCTAATCATGTAAAATGTGTATTTAAACTACAGGTTGAAGATTTTAAAAGACCTGCATGAAACCTAACCTAACATATTTATAAATATATATCAATCTTAATACAAGTCGGTTCAAGTCCCATTAGCTCTCTAATCATGTAAAATGTGTATTTAAACTACAGGTTGAAGATTTTAAAAGACCTGCATGAAACCTAACCTAACATATTTATAAAAATATATTGAATATATTAGCGTCCTATTTAACGAACATTATGCTCTAATGAGTTAATTTGCTAATATGGCCAAAAATGGTAAATTTACAGTTTTTAGGGCACTATTTTAGCGTTGCTCAATCCATTCAAAAAGTATACTTTGGTCTATGGCTTAAAAATTTGTTGGTCTGTGTAATCTTAATTAAAAAATAATCTAAGTTCTCCTTTTGATCACTTCTTTTAAATTTCTTTGAAATTTAGCAATTTTTAATTATACGAGCAGTTGTTAATCGACGCAAATTAATGGACTGAATACCACTCTCCACTGTGGTAGTATTGGTTATGCAATCTCAACTGTCTTATCACATACTGCATTCGAAATCCTCGTCATAATATTTAAATTAAAATCAACAAACATTTCTAAGAATGCACAGTGGGCAGATTCTATATATATTTTGGAATTAAATCTCGGATTTCTAAACGGCTTATCTAATCGAAATAAAATTTAATATGGGCGTTGCCTAGGAGTTTTTGAAGCTAAACCTCATACTTGCTCCAGGGGCGGAGCTATGGGTGTTGAAAATAGGGAACCTTTTTTCCACTATTTCCCTTGTTTTTCATCTGAATTTAAAGAAATGTGGACACTATGGGCAAAATTATAAATTTTTCCATTATTTTACTTTTCAGTTTCTGGCAATTACGGAATTCTTTCTGACATTATGATTCTTTTTTTTTACATTTTTTCAAAATTTTTATCAATATCGTAAATAATTTGACACACATTTATTTATGTTTTATTTAGAGAAGTCAATTTTCGATCCTCGTCTTCCTTTAATAAATTTTTTAAATATGTATCTCCCTTAATTTTAAGATTAGTTTCCTAAATATAAATATTATCTTTATTGCAAAATCGAATTATCATTTTCACTTACATCCTAATATTATTCAACTCATACTTAAAATAAAGTTTGATCTTCGGTAATAGCATTTGCTAATTTTATCTTAAATTCGGAAGCCATATAGTTAATATTTGTAATAGCAACATAAGCCTTATCATCGTCTCGTGTACAATCATTCTTAGTAGTCGGATAATTACTTATAACGCCCAATAGTGTGTATATAGTTTCGTTGCCATCTGGATTACGATTTTGAATAACAAATCCTGCACCACTATCACCACGACATACTGCAGCGCCTTCTTTATTGATAATACAAAATTTATCATCTGCTAATGGGGAATCAAGTGGACTTTTATCATAACATTCATGATAGGATAATGTTATCATTCGAAGTCTTTGCAATTGAGTGTTTAGGCCAAAAGTAGTAATGAAACCTATACGATTAGAGATCATATATTTTGATGTGATATTGTAAATTTCTTTTGGCATACAGATCGGTGCAATGGTTAGTGAATATCTAAGGGCAGTTTCTAGTTTTAAAAAAGCTATATCGTCTTTTTGATGTCCAATTACACCGTTATAACTGTAACAAAAAAATATATGTACATTAAATTAAATGCTATAAAAGGAGCTATAATTTGATCATTTGAAGCACCAACGCCCACTTACTTCATATAGCTGGTAGTAAGGGGGTTATATGTAGTAACGATAACTTACCCTGATGGTATGTGTATTTTCTCCACCTGTACTATCTGCGAGAAATCATTCTGTTCCGTTGTAAAATTACTCGTACTTCGGCCAGCAATAATTTGATATTCCTTATAATTTCTCAATGTCAAAGTCGATTCATCCCAAAAGCAATGTGCGGCTGAAAGAACCTTAAAATAAATACGGTCCTACCTTTAATTAAATCTATTCAACAACCTGTTATGATAATACGAGGCGAAACAATAGATCCACTACAAATGAAGTTGTAATTAATACTATTATATTCATGTATAGATACATGCCATGGAGCTGAGATGGATATAATGGGAATACCATGTTTAGATAAGGATACAGAGGAGGTAGCAATTCTGCCACAACTGTGAACGCAAGACTGAGGCCTTTTATCGAAAATGCCATCTGGTAAACATTTTATGTACTGTGAAAATTTTGGATTACGAGTGTAACCAAAGTTACAATTAAGGCGAATTTCAGTACCAGGTGGAATTCTTTTGGGACACTCCTCAAAATGTGTTATATAATTACATACAGCACGAACAGAAAGACCGTGCAAAAGTGTACCATCACAATGGCCTAAATGAAATGGGGAACAAGGTTATAGAGCAAATTATCAATATCAAAAGAAAGACTTACGCTCACAGGAAGGAAAATCAAAATTCCATTTACCATTTTGACACAAACGACTGGTTTGACCTCTTAAAGCATATTTGTTCTGGCATTCGATATGTATGACTTCGCAATCATCCACAAATGATCCTATGGGAATAGTTTCATTTTGAGGATGTAGTTTAAATATCAAATCCTGTAGTTCTGTTATATTTGGTATAATGCATTGAACGGATGTTGGTAAGGCTATGGGTGCTGGCTTTGGTTTTGGAGTCGGTGTTACAGCAGTTTCATAATTGATCTTACGTGGTGTAGTACACAACTGCCAGGCCTCGTCTGAACCATCAGCACATTCTTTTATACCATTACATTTAGCATTAAGGCTAATACATTAAGGCTAATACATGTAAAACCAACACAACGAAAATTTATACATAACTCCAGGGATTCATCGGAACCATCTTTGCAGTCTACACGACCATTACAAAGATCAATTGAATTTATGCATTCTTTAGAATTCACACATTGTATTTCAGTAGCAAAGCTGTAAATATTTAAAATAAAAGCATACACATATTAGTTATAATTCTCCCACTTACCAGACACCTTGAAAATCTGAATCTTTTTGAATACATATCAATTCATCCGAGTTGTCAGCACAATCTTGCACACCATTGCATTTAGCCTTGCCGTCTATGCAAGCTCCGTATGTACAACGAAAAGTAGAATTCTGACAGATAACATGAAACTGTATACAATTCTCTGCAATTTCATCCGATCGATCACCACAATCCACTTTACCGTCACACAATTTATTATCGGATATACACTGGCCATTGTCACATGACCAGTCACTGTTGCTACATTGGGAATGGACTAATGTAAATGTACAAAATGTTACTTAAAATATCAGAAAACCTATATACTAAGTAATTATATGATTTTGATTGTTGTTAATTGAAATTGGGATCATAAACAAATTTAAATGATAATAATTTTTCTCTTACCACAGTTCACAAAAGATAGTGAAATTAAAATTAATTGTATTTTGAAATCATTGAACATTTTTAAAAATAATTTTTATTTATTTCAATTTATATTTAAACACTTGACCCAAACAGTAAAATAAACTCTATATGTTGAACTAATAAGCAACTCTTAAAAACTGATTTCTTTCCAATTGAAAACTGTTATTTTAATATATTGAGAACAGTATCTGATTAAAGAGACATTGATTTTCGCTCAATTGATTAATTTAAATTTGAACTGTTATCATATGAAATCATTTGTATTAGTAACACACTTAAATATTAATCTCAATCTTAATACCAGTCGGTTCAGATACACTTTCTCCGATCCACCCGATCATCTCTCTATCCATGTAAAATTTGTAATCATAATTTGAAGTTTCTAAAACACTGGGATGGAAACTTATTGAAAACATGTGAAGGTCTACACTAATATTGCGATATGAAGTATAGCTGAAATAAAGAACCAATATCATCCTGGTTCAATACCAAACAAATCTAATTGACAGAGAATATAAATAGATATCTTCAAACTACTATCTCTTACCGTTTAAATCCTATCGAGAATATTTCGATGTCTTACAAAGGAAATAGCAATATCAATGGGTATAAAAAGCGCTAATCGATTTTCAAATAATAAAATTGGCTACATCGTCCTAACCTAAAAGTAGATAAAAATCCTTTAAAAAATCCTAAAAACACAACGCAATATTGGTCTACGATCCAGAAAAGTATATATATTCTTGGTCCTCATTAGATTCTAAGACGATCCGTCCGTCTGTTGAAAACACGATAGAGTCCGAACGGAAAAGGAGAGGGCAAGATCGGTTCACGATTTCACCTGTCCCCCAGTATACAGTTCATACAGTCATAACTGGCTTGAAAAGACCAATACAGAGATCAAATTCGACATAAACAAGTTTTAGAAGTACAGAAATCTCTCTCTCCCATATAAGACCCACCAGAAAATGACTTTAACGCTCATTACGGACTCAAAATTCTACTTTGGCGAAATTCACAATACAAATGTTTAACGGGAATCTCTGTACCAAGTTTTATAATTGACCCTACCAGCCATAAAAGGCCCCCTTTAGAAAATTACTTTAAAGCTCATAGCTGGAATAAAAGTACCTGAATATTGATGAAATTTTAAATAAACAAGTTTTATATTAACTACAAACTGTCTGCCAACTTTTATGAATATAGGTTCATTTTGGACCCTACCACCCATATGAGGTCCACATCACAAAATTACTCTAACGCGTATATCTGGCCTGTCTAGCGATTAAACTTAACATAGAAAAGTTTTATAAGAACCGAATTCTCTATACCAAATTTTATGAGAATCGATCCATAATTAATCCTACCCCCATATAAGGTCCCCCTCAGAAAATATCTCATTACGGGATCAGAAATACTACTTTTGCAATGAAATACACAATAAACAAGTTTTGGGGGAAACAAAATCACTCAAGTATTATGTGGATCGGTCCATAATTTACACCCGATATAAGGCCTCCTTCGAGAAATGGCTTTAAAGTTAAATGCAACGAAATTTGACATAAATGTGTGTTATATTAACCGAAATCTCTTTACTAAGTTCTTGGAGGAGGGTCCATAATTGACCCTACCTCTAATTCGATATAAGCAAGTTTTATATGAACAATTCGAAAAAGTAATTACTTCTTTAATTTTGAAGAGCTGGATTCATAACTAACCAAATCTCTTATTCCAGAAATCACCCTCACGTTGAAACTAATCTAATAAAAAAGTCCATATATAGAGCCAACATCAAAAATCAATAGTTAAATAAATATAGAAAAAAATGTTAAAATTATCTTTATTGCACAATCTAATTAAAATTTACACTTATAAACAAAATTCTTCACTAATACTTAAAATAATGGTCGATCTTCGTTTATAGCATCAAATAATTTTTTCTTAAATTCCGAAGTCATATAGTGAATGTTTGTAATTGCAACATAAGCATCATCATCAACAAGTGTACAATCATTCCTAGTGGTCGGCGTATTACTTATTACACCCAATAGTCTGTATATAATTTCATTGTCTAAATTTCGGTTTTCGGTAAAAAATCCTGCACCACTATCACCGCGACACACTGAAGCGCCTTCTTTATTGATAATACAAAATTTATCATCTGCTATGGGGGCATCGTTTACACTTTTTTTATAACATTCATTATAGTCTAACGTTAGCATGTTAAGTCTTTCCAAATGATTGTTTAGGCCAAAACCGGTCATAAAACCTGGTTGATTGGAGAGAATATAATTTGATGCAGAATTGCGAATTTGATTTGGCATACAAATTGAGGCTATAGTTTCTGAGAATCTGAGACCAGTTTTAAGTTTTAAAAATGCTATATCATCCCTTTGACGTCCATTTTTACCGCGATAACTGTAATGAGAGAAAATTTTAAAGTATATAATTGTGGAAATTATGATAAAGTCTTGAGCTTCTTTGATTCTATTATATATACTACTTGTTGAGAGGTTCTATAGGTATTCTCATGAAAAATATATGATTTCATTTATTTAAGTCTAAAATAATACTTACTCTACTGGAATATGTATTTCCTCCACCTGTACTACCTGCAAGTATTCATTTTGCTCCGTTGTATAATTACTCGTATTACTGCCGGCAATAATTTGATATTCCGTATAATTTCTCAATGTTAATGTTGGTTGATCCCAAAAACAATGTGCAGCTGAAAGTAAATCGGAATAAGTATTTAAGCTCTAGTAGTCTTCTCTTCATTAATAATTTACCTGTTACGATAACACGAGGCGATACGATGGATCCACTACAAATGTAATCATAATAAACACTATTATTTTCATGTATAGACACATGCCAGGGTGCTGTACTAGCTTTAATGGGAACGCCACGTTTAGACAGCGGTTCAGAGTTAGGAGAAACTCTGCCACAATGAAGTTCGCAAGGCAAGGGACTCTTGTCAAATGTACCGTCTGATAAACATTTTATATACTGTGGAACATCTGGATTACGTATAAAACCAAAGTTGCAATTAAGTTGAATTTCAGTACCAGGACGAATTCTTTTCGGGCAATCCTTAAAATGAGTTCTATAATCACAAACAGCACGCACAGAGAGACCGCGCAAAAGTGTACCATCACAATAGCCTAAATGATATTAGGAACCAAGGTTAGAGAGTAAATTATAAATATCCGTAGCCAAGACTTACCCACACAGGAAGGAAAATCAAAATTCCATTTACCATTTTGACACAAAAGACTGGATTGACCTCTTAAAGTATATTTGTTCTGGCATTCCATATGTATAATATCGAAATCATCCACAAATGATCCTATGGGAATCGTTCCATTTTCAGGATGTAATTTAAATACCAAATCCTGTAGTTGTGGTATATTTGGTATAATACATCTAGTAAATTGTGCGGGAGTAGGTGTGGGTGTTGGTTTTGGTATTGGGGTTGGTGTAACACCACCAATATTGTTAGTGGTCTTTCGTGGTGTATTACACAACTCCCAGGCTTCATCAGAACCATCAGCACATTCTTTTACACCATTGCATTTAGCATTGCCGCTAATACATGCACCATAGCCACATTGAAAACCATAGGATATACAACCAAAGTTGATGCACAACTCCAATGATTCATCGGAACCATCCTTGCAGTCTACACGACCGTTACAAAGATTAATTGAGTTTATACATTCTTTAGAATTCACACATTGAATTTCAGTATCCGAACTGTAAATTACATTCCAAATTAATCAAAAAACTAAAATATTATAATTTTTATAAATCTCCCCTACTTCTTACCAAATATTTTGAAAATCTGAATCATCTTTTTTAATACATATCAATTCATCCGAATTGTCAGCACAATCTTGCACACCATTACATCTTGTCTTTCCGTCTATACAAGCACCATACGCGCAACGAAAGGCATACTTTGGACAGGACTCATGAAACTGTATACAATTCTCGGCAATTTCGTCTGATCGATCACGACAATCCACTTTGCCGTCACACAATTTGTCATCGGGTATACACTGGCCATTATCACATGCCCAGTCATTGTAGCTACATTGGGAGCGGGCTAGTTAGTTATAAATAGAAGTTCAAATATCGGAAATTTTTGGTTCTCTAATTAGGTTTGTTTTTAATTGAAATTAGATTATGTAGAGAATGAGAATAAAGATTAAGGCTGTTGTAATGTAGTATCGAATATTAAGTGCAAGTACATGGACTCAAAAAAGTAAGAGATTTAAAAATATCAGCTCTCTTCTCTTGTGTAAACGGTTCTAGATATTCCACCCATTAAAATAATAGAAATGTATAATATATGAGGCGGAACTTATAACCAAACGGCTTCTAACTTGACAGTTAAAGGACGAGTAATCAAAATATACTGGACACATTGAAAGGTTATACACAAACATTGGACTTGCCCGATCTCATGCCAGACACATAATATGTCGGGAACCAGATAGAATGCGAAACCCAAAAGGCATCTTGGAATAATGAAAAAGAGGTCTGAGGTTAGTATGATGCTACGTATCTTGAGTGAACACACCAGATCATTGGCACAACTATACAAAATTGGACGCAATGATTCAGACGAATGTAGAGCCTGTGAAGAGGACTTTGAAACTCTGAATTACTTCTTTGCATTGACAGACTGTAGTCGAAATTAGATCCAAGAATCTTAGGAGTAACATTATTCGGGATACAATGTTCCTCACCAATACTTATAGAAAAATTCTTAGGGATTACGCCCAGGAAACTGAGTTTCTGAACATCGGACGATAATACCTACATTGATGACTATGTAAGGTTTTTGTTTTACCAGCAAACATTTGCTATGAAAAGCAGCTCATAACAGACCCGATAGTGGCCTAAGGTGTATTTCTTCGGATTTGATATAGTATACATCCTCCTATCAAACGTACCTAACTTAAAAGTCACACTTTGAAAGAACTTTTGATGTCATATTAGCGATTATCGAAGTATAAATTATTTTTTAAGTGTTCGTTGAAATTGCTTCAGCTTCTGTGGGTCTACAACCGATATTTTGATAAACGGAATCAATATACAACCGGTCTTTTTTAATGGTTAGTATTAAGATGAGAAGAAAAGATATGCAATTTCTTTTTAGAGCACGAATTCAAAAATTATTCCATTTATATAGTAGTATTTCGAAGAAGCACATTATAGATATATAAAAAATAATACTATTTTTAAACCATACTGATTATGTATTGATCATTCAATACGTATTTTGATACTTGGGGTCTGAAGTTATCTCACACTTATAAGTGGGTATTTTATTCTCATTCTCCCTACATTTTTAAATTTCTCTTGCCATTTTTTACTCTCTGTTTATGTGTTTTGCACGATACTGCCAGATAAATTATTAAAATATCAAAAAAACCATAACTTTTAAGAAAATTATATAAACTGACCTTAAAGATCTCGTTATCAAATCTAATACAGATTTTAGGCTTTATTTAAAATCAATTTTAAAATTTATCAAAAATAGTTTGTTAAATTTTTAATGTTTTAATTAGTTTAAACATTATCTGTTTATTTCTAAAGATGTTTAAAATCTTTTAAAAATCTGGCAACATCTTGTAACAAAAATCATCTGTTTGTCACAATAAACAAATCGCTGGCAGGAAAAGTGCACGGGGCTTTACAATTAAGCTTTTTTTCGTTGGGCATTTCCAATAAATCTTGTCTTATCACTTACCGCCATAAAAATTCGTTAAACATAATGAGATCACAATTATTTGTATGAAATATTGATAAACATTTTTAGAAATTCTCATTACTAAAATTCTATAAATTAAGTTTTGTTTGTTAATAATAATAAAAACGACTCAAACTTAAACCGCAACAAAAACAACAGCCAAAATACATGTAGTACGAGTACTTGATATGTAGTATATAAATTTTGTTGTTTTTATTAAGTATTTTCAAGATCTTTGTGTGTTTTTTTTTATTGGCGTTCCATAAACGCTTTAATAAATCCCCGCTTTTAAGTTGTCTCGACGAGCATCTCTTTGAAACTGATTTTATTTAATTCAATACAAAGAACTTGTTTGAGAGTATGTATCTCACTCTCAACAAGTTCTTGGCGATCTTTTTTATTTTTAAAATTTAAATATTCATAAGTATCTCAGTTTCAAGATTTAAGAGTGTGTCGATTTAAGAGAAACCAAATTATGCTATAATAATTTTTTTTTTTTTTATTTTGTTTAGGAAATTAACAAAATAACTAAATATTTTATTGCTTTTTAATAATAAAACAAATCAAGATATTTTTTATAATTTTTATTACAAACTTTCGTGTATTAATCCTGTTTTGTATATATATCAGGGTTGTAAAATATAGAGCTATTGCAATTACTTACCATATTATTTTATCTTATCTGAAGTGAAATAAAATTCTACTTTTTATTTTAAACCTTTGAAGTTTTCTGGAACTTGTTCTACAAGATCTGTTCAGTGATATTTGTTTCCAATTGTTAAGATTGGGATCATTTTGGTAAAACAGTTGGTTTAGCCTTCATGTTGGGTTGCATCGTAGTGCATGAACCAAAGACGAAGTGCTTTTCATGAACACTTTGCTCAAGTACTCAATCTATCTAATTTTTGACCATTGCTGCGCCGTTTCTTAACTTCCGAGTGGCGAAAAAATCACTTCCGTTTACAACCACACAGATGTGATGACCTAATCGTTAGACCGGAACACGAATCTATCAGTAGTGGTAAATCTAATATCACTTGTATAAGTTACCCTACGTCCATCACAATTCAACTCAGCACATTTCATATTCAACCGACACTTTCATTGAGAAAAACATATGACACACATATCGCGTATAATAATCGCATAACACCAACTCATTTTCAACGCTTAGTCCCACCCACTTTATAGTGCATCAATACTTTAACTCACATTCTCTTCCGGGCTCCCGGTAGGGACCTCTCCAATAACCGGGACAAGACAAAATCCGAAACTCTGAACTGTATGCTTTCGGTTCCCGTGGTACCACATTATGTGGTTTTGGGTTCCGACCCCATTTCAAATCATTCCAAGGAAAGACCGAGGATATATTTTATCATCACCTTCTCCAGGGGCTGTTGGCGAAAAAACAGGGGCCTTCCTGGCAGTAGTTCACTGTGCACAAACAGTCAAGGAAAATGTCGTAGTGCTTTACGTGAACGCCTGCCCTGAGAGCCTTATTTCACGGTGGTCTTTTTCAACCACTGGCTGAGCTTTTGCAACGACTCACCACCGCCCCATTGTGCTTCTTACACAACGGTGTCAATTTACGTATATGGAATTTCCAGTCCAGTATACGTGCACTTTGCTCGAGCTATCTAATCTATTGCCATAGTAGTCCCGTTGGGGAAGAACAGGTGTCATGAGCAAGCTCAATCTAAGCCAGACAATGGAAAACCTTATATGTCGCCCAACCACACTACTGAGATGGATCTGTTGATTCGGCAACAGCATCTAAGGGGAGTAATTGGTAGTCCGAAACACAGATCATTTCAATTGACAACATCTTATTAATCCACAGTCATGTTTTGTGTTTCGTACCGCTTCCAGATTCTAGAACAGAAACTTATGCCGTAAATTTATATATCATGTGTATCAATCTTTTAACCATGCACCCCCTTCCTGCTAATTTAGGTTTAAACCACAGCCACTACGTAGATCCCGAAGGAACCTCAACCAACTGACCAGCCAAGAAACTATCCTGTGGCAACTGGCCACCCGTAGTACCAGATTATGTGGTGCTTTGGTTAGACCCCATGTCAAATCATATCAAGGACGAGGAATGAAGTGTCCCTGCAGACTAGAGGTACTGGTAGCACCTCATAACCCCGGGATTGCAATACACCAAGATGCAGGTCATACATCAAAGAAACATACCCCGAGGTGAACAGTCAAGTAGAGTCGAAAGCATTTCCTTTTGAAATGTTGAATATGAAATAATTGTCAAGGAATCTGTTTCTATTGACGGATGGAGCAGGGCATTCGTCCTATCCTTGCAACTGCGACAGTATTCATTAAAGCGGAGAGCAAACCGTCCTGCGTGCCTGCCTGAGGCATAGACACCAGTTAATTTTGGCACATATATATCGAGATATATCCCGCCTATTCCGGGTTATTAGCTGTCTGTCTGCGTTTTTTATTTAAAGAAGGATACATTAACTTGGCCTCTCTTCATGTATCAAGATATATCCCGCCTTTTCCGGGTTATTAGCTGTCTAGTGCGTTTTTCATTGAAAGAAGGCTACATTAACTTGTCCTCTCGACATGTATCAAGATTATTCCATATATTTTCAGCCTTTTGAAGAAAGAACTAGAGGATACTGTTTTTGATAGAAACCAATGTCAAACATTGGTTCAGACGTTTAGGCTGTGTAAGGAACAATCAGTCAGTAAAGCGAATCTTTATACCCTACACCACTTTAGTGGAGAGGGTATATTGGATTTGTGCTGATGTTTGTAACATACAAAAATATTCGTCCTAGACCCACCTTAAAGTATACCAATCGGCTTAGAATCGTTTTCTGAGTCGATTAACCTATGTCCGTCCGTCCGGCTGGCTGGCTGGCTGTCCATGTAAACCTTGTGCGCAAGGTACAGTTCGCAATTTTCAAGATAATTGGATGAAATTTGGCACGCACGTTTTATTTGACCCAAGGACGAAGCCTATTGAAAATGGTTAAAATCGGTCCATTATTTCACCTAGCCCCCATAGAACAGGTCCCCCCGAAAAGAGCTTCTGAGCTCATAATTATGTTAAATATACAGCTATATCGATAAAATACGGCGCAACTAAGTTTTAAAGAAGTCTTGATGACCCTGCCAAATTTCATAAAGATCGGGCCTCATCTGACCCTAGCTCCCATACAAAGTCCCCTTCAGAAAATTACTTGAATGTCCCAAATTAACTTATAAACACAAATATCGCGATGAAATTCAGTACAATAAAATATTATGTAAATATAAATATATTCACAAAATTTTATCGGGCTTGGTCCATATTTGCCCCTAGCCCCCAGAAAATTAGTTTTTCATCCATAAATTGCTTAAATGTATCGGAACAAGGGAATATTGAAGATAAATGCTTACTTGTTTATATGTATAGATGTTTTCAACCTAACCTAGAAATTTTAGTTTAAATGAAATACCATATTTTTATGTTTTTTTGTTGTTTTTTATTTATTTATTTATTTGTTATTTTAATTTCATTTTTATAATATATTTTTATTGAAATTAACATTATTCCAATTATATGCAATCTATGTACGTTGTATGTAGGTTCAATTTTTTTTTTTTTTTTTTTGTTTCTTGTCTTTGGAGTATAATTGATTTAAATTTTAGTTTATTAATGATTACACAGTTTCACAATTCAAAATTTTTATATGAAATCATTTGATTTTTTTCTTATATATTTTGCAGTTTTATATAATTTCAAATACATAAATATGTATGTATGTAAATATTTGTGTTATATGTATAAGTATTTGAATGCATGTGTAAATGAAGGGAAATGTTTATAAATACTATTTAAACAAATACAAACATGTCACTTTATTACTTAGCATAATTTATTTATTATTTTTGTCATAATAAATGAAATAATAATTTTTAAAAATTTTTAATTATAACCTTAAAATACTTGTTATGTATTTATGTTAAAATAATTAAATATTTAATGAAATTATAATTAATACTTTTTTTGCCATAAAAGGATTTATTTGAAATTTTTGCCGTTTGTTCTTAAATATAAAGCCTACTTTTGGGAAAAGTTTAGTAGAAAATCGCTTTTGAAATTTGAATTTATTTATATTAGTTATTTATGCCTAAAAGTAGTCTTCATATTTTTGAGTTTAGAGCAACAATTTTTAAATCCTTTAATTATGAATTTTTCTATTTAATACAAATTTGTGTGTATGTGTGTGTTGGTTTTTTAATTGGATTTTTTTTTAATTTTTAGTTTATTTATGGTTTTCTCCTTGTTTTTATTTTTTTTTTTTTTTTTGTTAAATTTCAATCAGTTCAGTATATAAATTTATATTACAAAGTTGTTTATTTTTTTGTTTTACTAAAGTTTGTTTTATGTGTTTCTTTTCTGTTTTTCTGTCATCTACATATAAACAAATTATTAATAAAAATTATACAAAGGAATAAAATTCTACACTCGAAAACTATTTAATTACAGAAATTAAGCTTTGTTTTGTTGAGATTTTTCTTTTACTTGAGTTTTTTATATATTTTTTATCATAAATATATAAATATATTATATATAATTTTGTTTAATTGGAGGGATCATTTTTTTTTTTTTGTTTTCTATAGATTTTTATATTGTTTTGAGATTTTAGCTTTTTGTTGCAATTTTTTCTTAATACTTTCTCTATGATCTGTTATATTTGTTTCTTTTGGACTTAATTAATTTAATTCTGTGTTTTTTTAAATTGATATTTTTATCATTTTTAAGCAATTTTTTTAAAGTGTATTTTAAATATTGTTTTAATTGAGCTGGTTTAAGGTGATTTCTTTTTAAGATTTTTGTATAGAAAAAACTGTGAGAGGGTGCGTAAGCTGCAGCTATTCCAATTGTAAATTGTTTGGATAAATTGAATAACCTATAAGCCCTCGTTAAAGAGCAAAAAGTACCAGAAAGTGTATACAAATGTGACATATGTATAATCACAGGTTTAAAGGGTACATCAGCTACAAGAAAGTTCACTTTTCGTTCTTTTACTACCACAAAGTACAGAATTTCGAAAAAGTACCAGACCAATTGAACTAATAAAGTTTAGTCTAAACATTTATATTTTATCTGTTTTAGTTTAGATGATATTAGTTTTACAAATTTAACCGGTTTTACTTTCTAAAAATCCGTCCTAAGTGGATCACATGACCAAAACTATATACTGTCAATATATCGTAATTTTAGGTTCTGTCGTTTAGACTGTATGATAAGCAATCAGTCCACGACTCTTTTGTATATACATATACGTATATGTAGATAATAGGTCCTT